CTGCACCATGTGAGCTAATGAAGATGGGCAACGCCATGCAGGGTGCAATGAGGATAATTTTGCCAGGACAGTAGCATTAGCCGGCTCTTTTTTCGATTTCCAACTGTCGAGGGATCTTTCAAGTGCACCGCCTGTAGCACAAGGGGTTGTCGTCTACTACAAATTTAGGCCATTAAAGTTAAAAGTATGAGATATTTATAGGAAAAAGGCAAGTATTCTCAAAACTCAAGAATTACTACCACAACATTTAAAATGTAAGCCAGGATATAAAGAAAAGTTTAAATTTAAAATTCATTAAATAAAAAATTGTGATAATCATTTTGAGGTATTGAGGTTGATGACAGGTATAAATTTTTTTGAATTCTGTATCGTGGTAATAATAATAAAGGTATTGAACATGATTATTAAGAAGCTTAAGATAAAGGGGAATAATGTCTTATGAAGTGATTAGTTTTGGAATATAGATTTCTACGTCTAATTATGGCCAGCCGATCCATAGATAAAAATAAGTTTAAAATGTTGTTTACTTTCTAACATGTTGACAATTTATAACTCAAAATAAAATATAAAAATACTTCAGATTGTGTAAAGCCATCAGGGAAGGAATCTATAAGTATGGAGCGTATAGTATCTAATAATGGTTGTATCTTAGGACAATGAATAAATAAATGTAGCATATCTTCAATATTATCAGAGTCACATAATTGGCAAATAGAACTGTCTAACAGACTATATCTTTGTAATTTTTGATTTGTAAAAATAATGTTATGAGCTATTTTGAAATCTGTTAAGATACAGTCATTACTCTTTAAAACATGAAAAAAATTAGGCCACACCAAATTGAAATTAATATTTGGAAAAATAATTAAAACATAAGGTTTATCATTATGAAGTATATATGGGTTATGAAATAAAGGTCGATTGATAACTTCTTTAAAGGAAGATGGTTTAGAGAGGGCTTTCAGTTTTAAATAATCCCACGCTAAAAGAATGCTCTGTTAAAAAGGGGCAAGTGGCTAAAGTATGAAAAAGAAGGTTCTACACATTTACAATGTAAAGTAGTACCTCGGACAATTCCTTCTCAGTCCCTCTGTTTCCATCACAGTTAGTAGCACAAATCCTTCTAATATGAATTCACCTGCTGTCTCCTCATCTCACACTCTGTTCAGTTTATCCCCAGATGCCCTTAATCAAATACCGCCTGCTGGTAGGCAGTCATCATCTTAGTTAAAATTGGATGGTGAATGTAAACCAAGCCAAAATCACTGTCATGGTCGGAGAGATTGTCTGAGAGTGGGAGATATCCGTCTTTCAGGTGAAAATAATATTCTA